ACACACACACACACACACACACACACACACACACACACACACACACACACAAATGTATATAAACAAAAGGAATGACAGTTTTCCTCTCACAGTTATGGCGCTCAAACTCTGACAGCAGCAAAATTCATGCGATTCATTAAAAAAAATTGCTCTTCACTATATTATAATAAATTTATAATTAAAAAAATAAAAATATGTTAATATAAAATTTATCCCCAGTCACACTCACAAAAGCTATTAAATTAAAATAAAGGATAATAGAATATAACTGAATATATATTATGCAATATGTAAAAACTGTACAAAAAAGAAATCTGTATGTTTTTAACACAGTTTATATATTTTTAAATGTTATATTTTATTTCTAGATTTCTCATGAAGCCGCGCTGCCACAGTGTTGGATACGCTAACTTTGGATTTGGTCACAAATGCCTTTAATAGTTTTAATGTTTTTCAACATTTAAAATGAGTTTACATTTTACATTACATTTGTAGCTGCTATCGCCAGTGTGTGAATGTGTGTGTGGATGGGTGGATGACTGAATGTAGTGTAAAGCGCTTTGGGGTCCTATGGACTAGAAAAGCGCTATACAAATGCAGGCCATTTACCATTTACATTTTGAAATAGTCATTTAAAAATGCTTAAAAACATTTTGTAATTGACAGTGTAACAGCGGTGAGCAAAGCTGCTGTTAAAAAGGCTTAAATCCCGTCAAGAATTTGCACAAAAAGCAATAATTAGATTTATATGTGAAATGTTACAGCACATGAACAGTGTTATTATTCTTGTAATCAGATCTGCCGGCCGGCTGCAGCTGTTCTAGACTCCAAAGTAAACAGAGCTGTGATAACTGCCTCACACAGTATATGAAAGAGTGTCATGGAGGATTTCATATATGAGCTTCAGTGATTGTTGGATCGATCACATCGATCAGCCCACAGCATGAAACAGTCTCTCAGCTGAGAAGCTTCTTTCCCACGTTTTCAGTCCAGACGCTTTTCTTTCCGAGGCGACGACGACCTGGATCACTGATCGCCTCACACACAGCTGAAATTGTGCGCTTCAGAGTTTTTAGCTAACAGAGCTGCCTGGATGTAGCGAGCCACAGGTGATGCTTGCTGTAAATTCCCTGTGTGTTCACCTGTACTCGTACCTGCACAGCCCTACGTCACATGATTTGAACGTTTGCGTTCTTGTTCTCTCGCTGCTCCTTCGTTCTTCTAAAGATGAAATTGGAACCTTTTTGGGATCGATGAGTGTCTCACACACCACAGTTACTCTATGTTGGCTTCAGCCTTTTAGTTCTTCATTTCATGAAGTTGTGTTACTGCTGTGAAAGGGACGGGGTCTGTTAAACAGGTTTGGATCTGAGCCGTGTGATGTTTGTGAGTCCGGTCACTCATGTTGGTCTTCAGAGCCCGTTGGGCTTCCAGTCAGCGTCCACAGTGCTGATAATCTGCCTTCGTTCCTCGGTCGTTTCTGTCTGTCATACATGTGAAATGAGTGATTCGGTGTGCGTGGCACACTTTCTGCTCCCGTGGACACGAGCAGCTCGTTAGGTGTCAGCATGATCAGCTGTGTGTTTGCTGAGGAGGTGCCAGCCTACTTAAATGTGGCCCATCTAGCTGCTGAGGCTGCAGCGTGTTACCAAAACATGAAGGTTTCGTTTTTGTCCCTTTGGGCCCTGAGAACAGAGGATTATTAAAACGCCAGCGACTTAACAGGGCGTGGTGTCCTGAGATGGGTTTGAACCGCACATCTGGCCTGTTGACAGATGAGAGCGATTAACCACGACATGTAGTCAGCTGCTGTTTTATATAACAGGCTTTGAGCAGCGAGCCAACAAGTCAGGCTTTAAGGAAACACAGCTTCATTGTTTTGGGTTGTGATTTCAGCCTCGTGGATAATCCACAGACTGACCATCCACAGCATCTCACTGTTGTCATGGCTGCTAAAAGATGGAGCACGGAGCAGATGCATCGCTTCATTAAGTTAATCCCGTCCTTTATGGCGGCCGATCCCTTGTGAAGTTCTGTCTGTCTAGTAATTACGGGCCAAACTGCTGTGTTGGCTCGGCGCTCTGCCGGCCTGTGTTTAGTTTATCGATGCCCCGCGTCACGCGCTCTTTGCTCCCTCTCTCTGCGTCACTTTAACCCTTCAACCTCGCCCGGCCCCACCCTGCCCGGCGTAGCGGATGTGCAGCACTCTGCCGACCATCTGTGCATCTGCGCCCGCCCCGGTTCACGGCGCTGTGTGTAGACGCGCTGAGGAGAGGTGGAGGTTACGTAACTGTAACGGGCCGGCTGTGCGCGGCGTCACAGCTGTGGTCTCGTTCGACCTCATGTTTGGAAAAGATGAAACTGGTCCCATGACCGTGCGCTCGTACCAGCACCGTTCTCGCTGTGCAGCGGTGCTTTCAAACGTTTTTCGAGGTTTCTGACGGTCGTTATTCACGTCTTCATTTCTCTGACTGATTAAATGTTACCAGCTGCATGTTGTTTGAGGCCAGGTTAGCTTTTTACGCCTGATCAGTGGGTGTGTGTCGCAGTGGGGCGAGAGAGGCGCTTCTGGTTTAGACGGTGTTCACTTTGATTGGTCATGGCTTCACAATTAAGTCTCTTTTAGTGCTTGTTTGGGTTTGGAAAACACACGGAAACCCAACAGGTTCCAACACCACGGAGCCCAGTCTTGGCTCTCGTTTCCCAGATAACTCGCCCCAGATCCAGCTCATGGGAGAATTCAAAGCCTGTGAGACGTCGAGGGCAGCCAAATGAGAATTGACAGTTGATTTTAAAGAGAATTAGGTCCGCTGAATGGGCGTGATAAGGATGATGAATGCCTCGCACCGTGGAGAAACTGGGAGTTGGATGAGAACCAACGCCTGCCGTTCTTACAGTTTCTGTTCAAACCCCCTGAAGAGTCTTTGTGGTTCCCTTTTCATGTCTTGCTTTTTAAGTATTTTTTTGTTCAAGATTTTAGTGTTTTAGGAAAGTAGGACAATTTGTCACGATCTCATGAGCTCCAAACCGATAGAGACAAACTGAAAATGCACTTTAATGACTCTTCTTTGGTGTGTCAGGTCTGTGCAGCTTTTCACAGACAGAGTTTTCTGTTTTGCACATTTAGTATTTTATTTTCTACAGCTGTGAGCAGAATGTAACACAAACCACACAATTTGTTAAAATGGATTTTAATGTTCCCGTGTTCATCCTCGCTCGATCCGTCACCGCTGACCGCCGTATGACCTCGCAGCTGAAGTGGGACAGTGGCCTCGGGGCTCAGGAATCGGCTATTTCTGTGTCACAATGACACTGTGCCACAGTCGCATAGCATAACTGAGAGCGTGGCGGATTTGACTGGCACCACAAAAAGAGAGAAAGGACTGGGCCCAAATCCCCGCATTTAGAGATGCTGCACACTGATGAATATGAAGCAGTGTGGGCCCATCACAGGAAATCAATTACGCTGCTATGAACCGTCCTCGGCCTGCAGAGCAGATGGCGTGTGGTTCACCGCTCGGTGATGATCATATTACTTTTCTTTGGTTAAGGTCGTTTATAAGTCCTACTCTTCTGCATTTATGCATCGTTTCTAATGCTCTAGAAGTTTCTCCAACCTGCTGCAGTCTGGTTGGAGGCACTTTCCAGATCGCAGCTCCAGAGGAGAAGGACGAGCGTCAGGCTCAAACTGGAGGACTTGGATCTTTTGTTAGGAGAAGATTTTCTCTAGAAAGAAGCTGAATGATACTGAGGACTCAACAAAACCAAAGAATGTCAAAATAAGATTCAGTTTCAGTTTTATTTGTCATATGCAAGTTAGCACAGGGTCAACATTGCAATGAAATGTGTTTGACGAGCAGCAGTCACTCAGCAGCATGGTACAGTAGGAGAAAATATAATAAAAGAAAATAATAAAGAAAATAGAAAAATAGTAAGGAGCAAAATATTAGAGAGACGTGGTAAAAGAGAAAAGATGACTAAATATACATGTATCTATAAATATAAATATATGTACACTAGTGATTAAATAAGAAAATCTTGAAAAGAAATACAACGGGAGGGCAGATGGGACATTGAATGAATGAACAATGATGAACAAATGCTAAAACGAGCGCCCAGATATTCTTATTATAACAGTGAAACATCAGTTTATGGCAAATGCAGCTCCTTTTGGAGGGTTTCTCTTATATTTAGCAGAAGCTTTCAAGCAGATAAGGGATGGAGCCATAGCAGTGGCTTTCACAATCATGTCATGTGACCGTCACGGCAAGGCCAGATGGACCACGCAACGGTCAGGGCCGACTGAAGATGTTAATTGCATTAGATGGATAACTGGGCTTGTTTACGTGAATCCAAAGCATCAAGATTAGGAGTCAGTGCGTTGGGGAAATGTGCTGACTACAAATTAGACACACGAGCTTTTTCTAGGTTATCATAACCTTTGTTTTGTCACGTCTTTTGGGTTATTGCTTGTCGAATGAAGGGTCCACAGCTGCACAAAGAATAATCAGCGGCCGGCTCTGAATCTCAGACTCACTCGTTTCCTCCTCAGATCAGCCTGTTGTCTCAGGTTTACAACAAGTGCAGATAAACTGTGTCGTGTTACAGACGGAAGAATAACCCAGATACTCCACCCCGCTCTGCCTGAATGGATGTGTAAGGGAGAGCTA